GAAGTTTGACCCGTGTCAAAGGTTGGTAGGCCTATGTTCCTGACGATTCGTTAAGTGGCTGCGGGTTGACGAAAGGGAAAAGCGCGGCGGAGAGATGTTGTTTCCCCTTCTGCCCTATTTTTTGACCGAGCTCTGCGTCATCATTCTCTCGTGAGTGTCCTCAGTATATCACACCACTTTCTGTGTTTGCCCGCTTGATGACAGGTTTACTACCGGCTTTTGTGAGATTTGTAATTTCACACACCCCTCCCATCATAATAAAAATCATAGTACAAATAGTAATAACAATAAAAATAATGATAATAGCTGTAACAATAACAAAAATAACATAATAATAACAATACTAATAATAACAACAACAACAACAATAGTAATAACATTAATAATAATAATAATAATAATAATAATGATAATAATAAAAATAATAATAACAATAGAGCAATAGCAATGATGGTGACAATAACAGTGATTATATTAATATTTACTTAGCACACACCCCAGTGTGACTCTAGGTGTTTTACACAAAAACAGAATGCATGGAACACACTTTACACAGCACATCTTTCTCTCTCAAGCCACTCCCCCTCCCCCACCCCTCGGCCAACTCTCTATTTCTAACTCACACACTCAAGTATCCCAAACCTGCTCATGTTTACCAAATAGGCACAAATAAATATGCCGGAATAAAACAAAGACAACATACAGACATTGTTGACCATACTCCGATAAAACATAATAAAGGTCAAATTACTTTTTTCAAACTTATTTTTGGGACAAAATTTGAATATCTGTTCATTTCAGCAGAATTTATGCTAGCTTCTAGAGAAAGAAAAAATATTGAAAGAGCTGAACTTAAACACTCACCTTGAACTTAAACTGTTCAACGTATGCCTTTAGGAAGTCATCAAACTTTTCCACATCGCCTGTCAGACTGCACAAGTAGGAGACGAAACAGAAGCCCTTCTCATACGGCGTTTCGTTGTAAGTGTCCTCTGGATCCACTCCTTCATCAATCACCACGCGTAGCTTGGTCAGAGGGTGATCCTACAGATGGACAAACATCAATGAACTTCAAAATTTTTTAACACACTGTAATGCACAAGATGCCGCAACATGGTTCACTATTCTTCCAATGAAAATATTATAATTTCATTCTGATAAAATCCGTTATGAGATAGGCAACTTCGACCTTGCCTATCAGGGCCAACACAGGTTGAGTGGGACACAGCCAACAGCGAAAAAACAAAGATTGGAGATAAAAGAGGCACCCCAACATTGGAATTGAACTCACATTTTCTGTGTGCTTCTGTAAAGAGCTTAACCACTACACTACAGACACTGGTTATTGTTCCCATAAGTAATAGCTAATCAATTGTTTTATATTCAGTGATGTCAGTAGTCTTGTGGTTGGGCTATCGGACTCGTAATCATGATATTGTGTTGGAGGCTCAGTTTGGTCCAACATTGAGTCTTTGGGAAAGGAACACTGCACAACATTTTTGTCATTTGGCTCTGCCCTATTGAAGATGGATGTTTAATTCGGAGGGGTCCCACCTCTTAAATAACCCAAGTGTTGCAAGGGGTGTTTAACTTACACAATTTCACTTTATTTTTCTTTGTATACAAAAATTGACACAATTTTTCTATGATCGTTAGTACAGTCTTTCAAACTGAGTGAACCATGTAGGTGAACAAGACGAGGGTACTGGTCGCTCACAGTTCCATCCAGGTCAATTTGGCTGTGTAACAAGGACTGGCCAGTCGCTGTCTCCAGGGCTGAGAATGGTCTGCCATAAATTTTATCTTGGATCCTCCGCTGGGCATACATTGTGAAACCCTGAAAGAAAAATAAGTTAGCTTGTTTGTTTGGATGAACATAACAGAGAGAGAGTGAGAGAGAGAGAGAGAGGAGGGGATATGGACAAAGAGAGAGGTGCACGGGGTAGAAGATAGAGAAAGAGAGAGTGA